GCTCGCTCCGTAATAATGTAGCGGAAGTTCGTTGCTCTGTCCCTCTGCAATGCACACTTAGTGATGCGTATTTTACACACTTCTAGGACGAACCACAAAGTAAAACCGTCAAGAACTATCTAAGACTAGCTATAACCGCCAAGATTTTGGGCCCACCAACAAAGTCCACGGGACCACCTGCTCCGACGCGTTAAGTGGAAGATCTAAGAAGGTTCCGTCGGCCGCTCCGTAAGCCGAGCAGCTGATGAAACACCAAAATTTACCGCTCACGAGCGACTGGTCAGCGGCGGCGGCCGTTGCCTTATATCATGTTCCAGAGTGGTGCCTCGAGTTAAACGACTGTGCCTTTGCACCATTCTGCTATCACCTTGTTGCTATAGTGTACTGCAAGTTTCACTGAATATCTATGCTCTATTTCCTGCGTACGTTTGGTTCCTTAATAAACATTGTGTCTGTGAAAAAGAAGCCTCCAGGTGAAGCCCCGTCGGGCTAGGACACGCCGGACCTAGATCTCCAAAAGAAGACCGACAGCATAGGACGGGAAGTTACTGGGGGAGCTGAGACGAGGCACCGGCAGGCTGGGGCCGAGGAGCCGCCCCAAAGACTGACTGGAATGTATAGCGTGGGACTGAATAGGACGCTGGGATAAACCCTGGCCTTGGATGAAGGTATCTAGCTCCTTTCATTCACGCTCTAGCCTTTGCCTGAGAAGGGGCGTTTTCGGCCACATCCATTTATTTGCGTGTGTTGAGAAAACTAAAACACTGTGCCACGGATGCTTGGTATAACCTTTCATTATGCACATTGCACAATACCAGGCTACATGTATCTCGCAGGGGTGGAATCTGAAAGCAGGGGGCCGGAGGGCAATTAGTAAAGTGATTACTAAGTCCTCACCCTTCCAATCCTCTAACAGGTCAATTATCACATGACAATATCAAAAGCCTTCAGCAAGTCGCCCCAGGCGCCCTGTTTTCAGACTCCACACTTGCAGGTAGCATATGCTACCTATATACCTATATCCCATGCCCCTGACACCATCAGCTGCCTTCTGGGCCTCGTTTCATAAAGAGAGTCTGTAACTTACGGCCGGTTTTTGGACTTGTATTGCAAGTGCATGTGAAGAGATAAAGTTATTTCCCCCTCCCCTTGTTCTTGCCTACAAGATAAATCAATTCAACGATTCAAATGATCGTCATCGCTTCACAAGCGCTTGCAATTCAAGACCAAAACCGACGTAAGTTACAGACTCGCTTTGTGAAAGGAGGCCCAGCTGCTCTCACCTGCTGTCACAGAAGGGAGGCCTGGAGCGACTGCGGCCGGTGGGGAAGGCTGACCCAGCAGGAACCCCACCGTACCACCGGTGTGCTGCTGCCAGATCTTCCGTGCCTCTGGCCGCACACGGAACGGCCGGCACGGCATGTCACGACCCCAGCCGTGAGATCGTCGTGGCTGCTGGATGCGACGCTATCTTTTGGGGGCGCTTGATGCTGCCGTCTGCCGGGCATTGCTTGCCTACTGGAAAGAGGTGGGGGGTAATACCAACTGAGCTACAGGACCAACAGGGCTGTCTCATCCCTATCTCCGTAACGTGTCGTGTGCGACCAATGACGTCACGGCATTGCGGCGTTCTGATTGGGCGGCAGCTCCGAATCGCCCGACTGGTGGTCCCCGCTCGACAAGCGCACGTGCGCCGACTATAGGCATTTGTAGTGGCATTGACGGCAGAAAAAAGTGAGTTAATGCAGAGCTCTGAATATACTTGAATAGTGTCTAAGCCGTTAGTAATACGTAAAAACGTCAGATAGGTTTCTTGTTTGTCTTGATTTGAGCTTTAATATGATATGATTTTTACCTTAGTGTCGAGTCTGGCAGCTATGTGGGAGAGCCCTAAAGTTGGGTCATTTTCCATAGAATTGCATTACAGCCGTCCGACGCTTCGTACCTGTGACGTCACGGAAATCGCTGCTTTGGCCTAATGAGCATACCTTCTATATAGGGCCTTGCAGGACCAATATGATTATTATGATATATATTTATCCATACGATGAATTATATCCAATATCTGGCCTAGGACAGTCGGGCACACTGTGGTATTTCCGATCCATTTATGGAAACGTTTCCATTTTTGGAACAATGTTCCAAAAATGGATACGCCGTTTCCAAAAATAGAAACGGTCTGTTCCATAAATGGAGACGCTGTGTGCATCGCTACCTTTAAAGCAAACTGGGCATTGATTGGTGCAATTTGGCATGCGCAGGATGCCACCAATCGACAGCCAGTATTCTAGTTTATGTTCCTGTTCTCCGACTTTCCGATCAGAAAACCGAAAGTTGACGAACGAGGCGATGCTTATAACATGTCGACGTGATAAAAAAATTCACACGTTTTTCTAATCGAAAATAATAACATTTATGAATGTTTTGTACAAAAAATAACGTTTTTAACAGACTACTGAAAGACTGGCCGATTGATTGGAACAACCACATCACTGGGAACTTCAGTTTTTCATTCATTTTCACGCTGCATTTTCCGGTGTACTAGCGGCCTGGTGGTCGTCAATCTTTGATTAAATCGCATGAAAGTTGTTGCAAAGCCCTATTTGGAGACTTAAGTGGGCATTTTATGATATTTCAAATGTGCTGAATATGATCGTAGGCTCGGATCAACGTAAATCTCCGTGCACATACGTAAAAAGCAGGATGGAAGTAAGGTCTGCACCGTCGTCACACCAAATACCGTTGTATTCTGACGATGAATTTATTCATTCTAGCTCATGTGTAACATTGATATCAATTTTATATATTGAAATGATATCTACGCTTTATGTATTGCCCACTTTGGACCACATCTGTCCAGTAGTTTCTGGGAAATCTTAGTTTTAGTTGACTTTTGAATGTGCTCAAGTTGCGGCACGTAATGTATTATTATCGAACCCGACGTCCAAGCTAACTGCCGAGAGCCGAGATGCTAAACCAGTCCCAAACATCAAATTTTTAGTTGCATGTGAATTTTAAAAACACATTAAAGCTAAGTTTGCACACATTTGAACTTCAGTGTTTCTATTTTTGGAACATCGGCGTTTCCATTTTTGGAAACTAAGTCTCCATAAATGGATACGATTCAGGAGGATTTTAAAGACGTGAATTTGAATGCATACGACAGCTTTCCATGCAAGAAGACAAGTGCTTTTGGTGTATCTGAGCTTGTTTTAAGCGAAACAGTTGTTATACATCAAATCCAGCCACCCTTGGCAAGAAAATATGTGCGGAGATGTTAGCGTTTCTATTTATGGAATGAGCGTTTCCATTTTGGAACAGAAGAGTAGTCAAAATTGGAAACGTTTCCAATAATAGAAACGTCTCCATAAATGAATCGGAGATACCACAGTGCGCCCGACTGAGGATTTCCGTAGATTAGAGATCCATTCCATTGATTCCAGAAATGAGAAATACCAAGAAGGATCACTTATCAAGTATCAACCATGCATGGCAAAACATTACAAAATAATAAAATAAAATCACAGTGCGAATAAAACTATAAAAATTTGATAAAATCCAACACACTTTACTCCAGTGCCCCGCCGGTCGAATGTTTACAAAATAAGAGCGTTTCTGGCGCATATGTTACATGTCTTTCAAGGATTTGGAAAATAACTTGTCAATTCAGCAGCAACGAATATTACCTTCCAAATAAGCGGGCCACATATACGATTCCAGGACAAAAAGTCAAAAGACAAAATGTCAAAAGACAAAAGTCAAATGCAAAAAGTCAAAATGGATGAAAGTCAAATGGAAAAAAGTCAAATGGATAAAAGTCAAAACGGATAAAAGTCAAAAGACAAAAAGTCAAATGGCAAAAAGTCAAAACGTCCAAAAGTCAAAAATGCAAAAAGTCAAATGGTAAAAAGTCAAAATGGCGAAAAGTCAAAAACGCAAAAAGTCAAAAGCAAAAAGTCAAATGGCGAAAAGTCAAAATGGCAATAAGTCAAAACGCAAAAAGTCAAAAGCAAAAAGTCAAATGGCAAAAAGTCAAAATGGCGAAAAGTCAAAAACGAAAAAAGTCAAAAGCAAAAAAGTCAAATGGCAAAAAGTCAAAATGGCGAAAAGTCAAAAACGCAAAAAGTCAAAAGCAAAAAGTCAAATGGCAAAAAGTCAAAAAACGCGAAAAGTCAAAATGATAAAAATCAAATGGAAAAAGTCAAATAAGAAAAAGTCAAAAGTAAAAAGTCATATAGGTATCTAAAAAACCATAAGACACCGCTCGCTCGTAATTAACCCTATGGCGTTGCATGGAAAAAAATGAGTTCAAACTGCCTCGAGCCCGGCTCCAACATTGAGAAAGTTCCAGCGCCAGTGCTCCCACATGTAATAATAACCTGTGAATCATTTTCATTTTATTACTTAATGGATTCGTTCATTAAAATATGTTCATTTCTTTTAACCAAATTTCTATAAACCCAGCGCGTTGGATGCTGGACCAGTCAGCGATGACCGTACAGAGACCAGAGAGCGTGAGTGGACGGAGGGGACCGCGTCCAGTCTATCGGGCACGTTTAAACTTTCAGATAAAACTTTGCCATAGCACTGGAATTGCACGATGGGGCAGTGGTGACCCGGGAACGTTTGAAAAGTTGATGGGGTAGGTTGAAAGTTGAGGGGACAAAAATTGCAACTCAAAATTTTGAAATTATCTCGTCTTTTGTATTTTTTACTTTAAGTCCATTGACGTCATTTAAAGGTAGTGTGCCACCTTTGAAAGATTTCCCATTTTATTTTTCCTAGGATAAGAAGCTTCTGTTTTTACCTAATATCGCAAAAAAAATCAAAAATGGGCCTGGAATAGTGCCTTTTTCGCCTAAAAGTTTATCGGTTTTTAGATATGTATAACAACTGTAGTGGGCTCACCTGTAAACAGGCATCGGCAACAATCGCGAATGCGGCGCACATGTGACAATAAGCAAAGGTCATGTCGGCCGGTGGAATCGCCGACTTACTGGAGGTTCGGTGTGCCGATGCGTCCCCAAAGCCGGTCTCGAGCACTCTGTGTATTTGATAATTCACGCACGCTTTTATACAGGATCTTTCACGCACAGCGCGATCATATAAGGAGCGTCATGCGGCAAGCGCATAAGCTTATTCGAGGAACGACGCGGAAACCTCTGCAGAACCGGTCAGTCGTTGAATTAATAACCCGGATCTGCAGCGGGCCGCACGCACCTGAACAAGGCCATACGCGCTTGTAGCAATAGTCCTTTGAGCAAAGCCTTGCGACATTACCTCCCCTCCCCCATGAGCCGACAATAGGAGGCGTCAGAACAACACACGACCGAGTGAAGAAGTAGACGTCCCGAGCTGGTGGGTGACTTGCTCGCAGCGCGGAGATGTGTAGGTTCTCCGGATCTTGATGTCCGAGATCCCGGCCCATGACAGAGCCGCGCCGATGAGGTCACCGTCAGTGGACAGTGACAGAAGGCGCGGCCGGCTGGAGCGGGCGGTACTGTCGACTGCTGGCGGCCAGTGATTGTGGTGGCAACTGGCTGGAGTCGACAGCGACGGCCGTTGGTGGAGGGGACCTCTGGATGGTGCGCGAGCAGAAGTCGACGGGGACGTCTCGAGTCGATGCACTGGTACCGGACCATGGTTGTGTGGCGATTGTACTTGTAGGGCGATTTTGACCGCACTCGGGTAATGTGGTCCCGAGAATGCACGCCGGATAATCGCCATGGAGTCAGGTACCAGTGGCGGTGTGGTTGACTCGGCTGGTACTCGACGTCCCGGCTGCCGGCCGGGCCCTTGGCCAGGCAGCGGAGACGTGAAGATCGGTCAGCCGTGTGTATTTGACAGTCCATTGTGGCCCATGAGGAGTGAGTCGGCATGCAGCAACAGGCGATGCGAGTATGGTCGGCTGTCTGCAACATACAAAATCTTTCATCAATGGCACATACGTACACGAGACAAACGAACAGACATATACAATTCTTAAAAACTATACATGATTTTTTTTATGGCGATCTGGTTGAAGTGGATGCAAGTAGGTATGCATATGAAACATGTGGGGCAACACATCAAGATAGTTGCCGCCAGACCGCCATGACATTAGCCGTAAGTACATGGTGATACAACCGAAAATGAAGGTCTTGACGAGCAGCCGAAGAAATGATATAGCCAAGATGTATGTATAGGGGCTATCGACGGCATAGATTGATTACCATCGAAAAGATGAAGATAGCGGCGATAATAGCGAAGAACCAGTAGAGACCCTGCTGTAGTGTAGTTCCCAATGAAGAAGTGGTCGAAAGAAAAGAATCAAAGAGACCACTAGAGTGAATAACGGCTGTGGACTGGGCGACCGTCTCATTGCGCTGGGTGAGGGAAAGAGTCGGGGTATCTAAACAGAAAGAGACGGGTTCACAGCTTTTAATTTCGTTATAGTAAAGACACAGTCTTTCCTCGTGACAGGGGACCGACGTAACGAACTGAATTGTCACGAGGGAGCTGTCAGTGGATAAGGCCACTGCACGGGATGAAAGTGGGATATTATTGAAGGATACGGAAACCGTACCTGGAGAGCAGATGGATTTGGCTCGTATGATAATTTTGGCAGCCACTGGACATGAATGACACCCAGTGACTGAATCAATCGATTCAATACGAGGACAAATTTTGTAATGGGATATGGCAAGGGACATGTCATTGAAGCGTATGTGAATATTTACTGGGGCACTCCGAAGTAGTTTAGATTGCAAAACACCGTCCGAATTAATGTAAAGGTGGTGGTTATGAACGGCGCGAGGAAGGATATTAGGACGCTGATTTTGGATAACCGAAATGTAACTTTGAGGGATATGGCATCGAAGGGTTGTTTCGTAGTTAGTGCAGTAAACCATGAGGGGGCTAAAAATAAAATCGGTAGACAGCGGTTTGGGGGCCTGAATGTCACCCAATTGACCTGGGGTAGGCTGAGATGGAGAAGAAGCGGATTCCAGATGTGAGTCAGAAAAGTCATGGACGTTTTGGACGAGGTATGGGGATGGCAGGGATAGGGGCTGGTCATAGGTACCTAAGACATTCAGTTCAATGCCGGAATTTGTAATAACTTGATCGGATGTCGTGGTATTGACTAAACGATTGTCGATAGCTTCCGAAATTGTAATGATCGGTTGACAAGTATGCCCTGTACAAGGGCGGATCTAGGGGGTCGTTTTGGGGGGGGTCACCAGTCGGCCGACATACCAGGTCTGGTGAATGAATTCTGACGACCGGGGGGGGGGGGGTAGGGAGCGAGTATGTCGAGATCAAAAAATGACATTTGATCTTCGTCGTTTATAAGATGAAGTTTTATCGTAAGTCACTCGGCTCAGTAGTTTTAGTTAGTGAAACCCACCTATATAGGAGCGTCGCCACGGATTTTTTACTGGGGGGGGGGGAGGTGGGTCGACCGACTTAAAAACCCAGAAGTAGATATAGTTACCTCACTTTTAGCCTAATGCATTAGTAAATAGTAGCATACAGTCACGATCTCTCTTATTGACCTGTGTATGAATCGGCGGCGCGAAGCGCCGCAAAAATTTGCAAAAAAAAGTTGTCAAAACACAGCTCTAAAACACAAATATTACAACCTTTTTAGCATGCTAGTACAAGCCGGAGTTCCTTCACAGTACACATATGAATTCCGATTCAATTTGACACGGTTGGTGTTATTACAGTCACTGTTATTTCTCTCTTATTGATTGGTGTATAAATCGGCGGCGCGAAGCGCCGAGAAAATTTGCAAAAGAATGTGTCGAAACACAGCTCCAAAACACAAATTTTACCACCCTTTTAGCATTGCAGTACAAGCCGGAGTTCCTTTACAGCACACATATGAATTCTGATTCAATTTGACACGGTTGGTTTATGTAATTACAGTCAAGATTTCGTATTGACCTGTACGTATGTACATAAATCGGCGGCGCGAAGCGCCGCGAAAAATTTGCAAAAACATTTGTCAAAACACAGAGGGGGCCTCCTCTCTACAGAGGACCACCGATCTCTACTGCGGGCCTCCTCTTTTCACAGGGCCTCTTAACTACAGAAGCTACAGGGCCTCCTCTCTACAGAGGGCTTCCTCTCTACTGAGGGTCTCTCCCTTTAAGAGGGCCTCCTTTACAGAGGGCCTCCTCTCTTCAAAGAGCCAGAGGACCTCATCTCTGCAAAGGGCCTCCTCTCTTCAGAGGGCCTCTTCTCTACAGAGGGCCTCCTTTCTTCAGAGGGCCTCTTCTCTACAGCGGGTCTCCACTCTTCAGAGGGCCTTCTGCATTCAGGCGGTCTCCTTTCCACAGAGGGCCTCCTCTCTACACAGGGCCTCCTCTCTACATAGAGCCTTCTCTCTACAGCAGGTCTCCTCTCTACAGAGGGCCTCCTCTTTAAAGGGGTCTCCTCTCTACAGGGGGCCTCCTCTCTACTGAGGGCCTCCTTTCTACAGAGGACCTCCTCTACAGAGGGCCTCCTACCTACTGAGGAGTCAGAGGGGCCCTAGCGGTCAGACACAGACACTAGCGGTTATTCACTGGAGGCCCCAGGAAGTAAGAAGGGCCCTAGCTGTCAGGCTGGTCAGAGGGCCCTGAATGTCCTGACGTGATTTTTGGGATTCCCGTGAATTTCTTTCGCCTCAGACGTGATTTTGACCTGCCAGGGCCCAGGGGCACTAAAAATAAAACAAACAAAATAAAAAATGAAAATAGGACATCACCAAAATTAAGTGACCGAAATCCGTTGAGTTTTTAATTTTGCGTATAGGTAGGGGCACCACGAATTAAATTCATGACCATCCCCTTGGAGTTTTCCTGGATCATCCCCTGGTGCTCGCACGGTTGAGACAAAAACGAGTAAGATTCTGGTCTTCAATACGCCTTTTCACGCAACACGATCCAGAAAAACAAAAGTATTAGCTCAGAAGTGTTTGACAGGTGATTTTGAGCATGCAAGACGGCGTCTATAGCGCATTTAGGTCTTCGGCTTTTGGGGGGGTCAAATGACCCTCTCAGACCTTTTGGGGGGGGTCATGACCCCGTGGACCCCCCCCAGGATCCGCCAGTGGCCCTGTAATCTTGTCAACACGATAGGTGGCATTGTACTGTGGGAGTAGGTACCAGCGGAAATGAAGGCAGGGATCATAATGAATGACGCCACAAAATCTAGTTTTTGCTGGAATAGAAATGCATGACGTGATGCCGGGCCATGAAAGTGATTCTTTGGTGATTTCCGGAAAGTATTCTCGCCGAGGAACACATTTGGCTCCCCAGCTGCAATACTCAAAGTTAGGGCATATCAACTTGGAAGAAATTTCAACGGAAACCGGAAAAGTATAATATTGGTGAATTGTGGTCCATTGGCAAAAGACGTCTTCAAATTTAATCCGAAGGTAATAAACATTGGCGCCACTGTCGTCCGAAAAGAACATGCAAGTCGTAGAACCTATGTTACTCAGACTAAGCTGTGCCTGTCCTGAGATAACACAGGATTGCTTACCTGTGGGCAGTGTTTGACACTGCGATATACGAGAAGATATTATTTTGAGTTCATTGCAGTCATCGTGAATAGAAGAAGCCAGAATGAGCGGTAAAAAACAAATAAGAATAACCACACTATACTTAAGCTGCATAGATTTAGGAGCGGGTGGTGTCTGTACCTGATTGGGTGAATCGGCAAATTGGGAGATTTTAGAGAAGGCTGTAGAAATCTGGCGGCGGGATGTATGGCCAGCTACAGCGCCCGTTCGTAGAGAAAGGCGGAAGCAAGAACGGACAAGACGGTAAATGCCAAAGATAATGTAGCAAATAGTACGAAGTATACTGAAAATAGCGTTACAGGCAGATCGAACGTAGATAATAACTAGACCAGAAACAACGATGATAAATCCATAAACTAAGTACTGAATGGTGTGGGGTAGGCATGAAAGATTCAACAACATTTCTTTGCAAAAAGTACAGGAGATTCTAGAGCATTGAGTAGAACTGGGGATCAAAACTGAGCCAGACAAAACGTTACCATCGGGAGAAACAAACGTAAACGATAACGTGCCTTCTGTGTAACGTAGTTCAGTTGGAAGAACAAATTGGCGATCGGTATCTGAAACAGTATGGATAATTTCGAGGCCATCTTTCCTGGCGATGAAAGTTCCTGAAGTATTGAAAGTAAAAACAGGATCATGAAAAATAATTTCGGCGAAGTCATTTTGAAAGTTGGCAGTGTCTACGCTTAGAAGTTTTCTAGCGGGTGCCAAGTTGATTGGGCTTTGGTAAAAACAAGCTTTGAATGACACTAGAAGAGGGTCTTCGAATCCAAAATCATGGGAAATTTGCAGATAAGAATGGAAACTAGCAAAGCGGGTAACACAAGAGCATGAAGACTGATTATCACAGGGAAGCTTATTACAAAATGCTTCGTCGCCGTGGCAGGGCTGCGTCTCAGGACAATTGCAGACCTCTGCCTGGCGTCGGCGGTCGTCGTCTAACCGTCTGGTACAATCATAGGCAGCATGGGTCCCATTGGTTTCGAAATGCGGTTGAGAAAGAAAATGTGTCGGGGCATACAGCGTGCCTTTATGTTGAGCGAAAGTTACCCAATTAACGACGGGGCAGTCGGAGCACATTAAACAAGTTTGGTGTTCTGGGCATTGTTCCACGGCACAAATGTTGTCGGGCAGTTCCAGCACGGGAGGGTCGAAATCTCCGATTGCGCACCATTCGGTGGTACGATGATAGTAACATATATGGTATAGGCCTAAAGAGAACGAGATATACTGAAGTACAATGAATAATTTTGGAAGTGGGTGCTGCATGATTGTACCACGGTTTTCTCCAAGCACCTGAAAAAGAACGGGTCTTTTAATGTTATCGGTTGAACGTACGGCGTACAAATCATTTCAAAAATTATTCAACAGATATATATGATATATCGTGAACATTGGCAATTGTAATCATTGTCGTCAGTGACGAATCATCATCTTATCCTACGGGGATATGTACAAGGGAACGCGTTCCTTAATCTAGCATGCCTTTTCATGTCCGCTCACTGGCGGAATCTATCTGGCGGCCGTATATGATGGCGCGGCCTCAGATTGTAGGCCGGCTCGTCCTGTCGGGGGCCTGGGTCTACCGCAGGGGCCGCGGGAACTTGCCATAGTTCCTCTAATAGAGCTAAATTGTATTCAGGCACTTCTGGTGCCGCAAGATCTGCTTCTTCAGCAGAGCGGGGTCCTGCAGAAATCCCTGGCGTGACCGGCAGTGTAATGAGCGGGTGTGCATCAGTATTACTGCGCTGAGTGGCCTGGCCTACGGAACCACCGTCAGGTTCGCAACTGCGAGAAGGATCTTCTGAGGCTTTGAGCTGCGTGTGCTCAGTAAAACGCCTCAGCCGGTCGACGTGGACGAGCTGCACGTCGTCAGGGTTTGAGGTGTGCTGTATACGAGCATTCACGGGGCTCGTCATGTGCAGCACACGGTATGGGCCGCGGTTGACTTTTTGGAATTTGCGAGTCAAACCGGGCTTGAACTGAGGATTGTGAAGGAACACAAGGGAGTTGGGAGGAAAGGATGGGGTTTGGTCTTGTGTCGCGTGAGACTGTTCTTGTGCCAAAATAGCGGATTCGTTGTTTGCACGCACGATGGAGTGAAGAGAATCCAAATGTTTGTGAAGGACGTCGCGGTAAGAATCGATGGATGAGAACGGATCGAATGGAACCTGTGCGTCTACATCTAAAGGGAGGATCGGATCTCGGCCTGTGAAGATTTGGGCTGGAGTGTCTCCAGTCGAACGGTTTACGGACGAACGAATCGCAAACAGAGCGAGAGGCAGTACTTCGTCCCAATTTCTTTGCGAAGAATCGACAAACTGGGACAAAATATTGCCAATTGTGGAATGGAGTCTTTCGACACGACCGTTTGCTTGCGGGTGACGTGGAGAGGACAAGATGCGTTTGATGCCTAATAATTTGCAGATAGCTTGCATGAGTTTGGACGTAAAATTTGACCCACGATCACTAAGCAAAATTTTGCTAATGCCATGACGAGAAATGATCTGTTCTACAAATGCTTTGGCTACCGCTTCTGTGGTAGTTTCTGATAAGGGAACAGCTTCGGGATACCGACTAAAATGATCAATCCAACTAAGATAGTGAGTGTTGCCACGATAACTTTCTTTCAGAGGTCCGACGATATCAAAAGATGCGATGTGCATGGGGTATTCTGGAACAAGAGTTCGCTGCAAAGGAGCACGTTTGATGTGTTTGTGGGCGTGTCTTTCCATACAGAGACGGCATGACTCTACATACTTTTTCACGTCGGTGTACATACCCTTCCAAAAGAATGACAACCGAATCTTTTGCAATGTCTTTTCGAACTTCAAATGACCAGACCAGATCGTGTCATGATATTTTTGAACGATACTCAATTGCATCGGCTTTGGAACAACCATCTGATCGAGAAAGGGACGAGTTTTGTTCTTTTGTGGGGAAACATGATATAGCAAACCATCTGAACTGAGGAAGTAAGCAGACAACTCTTCATGTAACTGTAAATCTTTGCGATCGTTTGTTTTTCCTGATAATTGATCTATGATGGGCACAAGAGCTGGATCTTTTCGTTGTTCGGTCTTAATTTTCTCACGGGTCCATCCTTCGTTTTCGAAGGTAGTGCTAGACACATAACCAAGAAAATCTGTTTTAGACTGTGAATCTACTCTGGTACGAGAGAGAACATCGGCTTTCACGTTTTGTCGACCTGGCAAATAATGAATTTCAAAGTCGAAAACACTAAGCTTCTGAGACCATCTAGTCAAACGACCACCTGGATTTGTACCTTTGAATATACCACGCAATGGTAGGTGATCTGTGAAGACATGTGTAAAATGACCAAGGAGATAACAACGCAAGTTCTCAAATGCCCAATAAATAGCGAGACACTCTTTTTCTGTAGTAGAATAATTTCGCTCAGCTTTGTTGAGCTGACGACTGATAAACGCGACGGGATGAAGATCGTTTCCATGTTTCTGTTCCAAAACAGCGGATATTGCAAAATCACTTGCGTCAGTAGACATATAGAAATCTTTCGTGAAGTCGGGAAATCGCAAAACCGGAAAATGTAGCAGTGCGCGTTTGATAGCTTGAAAATTTTCCTCACACTTCTCGGACCAATCGAATGAAACGTTCTTGCGAGTGAGATTGATCAGAGGAGCAGCTAACTCAGACATATTGGGGATATGTCTCCGATAATAGTTTGTAAACCCTAAGAAAGATCGCACTTCTTTGACTGAGGTCGGGGTAGGGAAGTCCTGAACTGCTTGAATCTTGGAAGGATCAGGTCGAATGCCATGCTCATCAACAATATGACCCAAATACCGAATTTGTCGGTGCATAAAAGAACACTTGGATGGCTTGAGAACGAATTGGGTTTTTTCAAGACGAACAAGAACTCTTTCTAATTTCTCTAAATGTTCCGAATAATCTCTACTAGCGATAAGAATGTCGTCTACGTACAAGAATGCATCAATACCTTGAAGACCTGAAAGAGCTATCTGTAAGGCTCGGTTTAATCCACTGCCAGAGCTTTTGAGACCAAAAGGACAAGCTTTCCATTGAAAATGTTCATTGTTTGCAGTAAATGCGGTATACGGCCTAGAAGAAGGTGCGAGTGGAACTTGGTGAAAGGAACTGAGAAGATCTAATGTCGAAAAAACTGAGCATCCTGACAACTGGTCAATGGCATCGGCAGCGAAAGAAGAGGGATATCTATCATCTTTGATTTTCTGATTGAGGAGACGTAAATCGGAAACTAATCTATATCCACCTGATGACTTTTTCACCAAAATAATCGGGGCGTTGTATGGAGAAACAGCGGGCTCAATTATACCACTTGCAAGCAACTTATCCACTTCTGATTTGACTATGTCACGGTGAGCGAAAGGTAGTCGATAAGGATGTTTAAATGCAGGAGTCGTATCCGAAAGTTCAATGTGATGCTCATATACGTTAGTAAATTTAATATCTTTTAAATCATTGCCGAAAGCAGAGACGTGTTTCACCAGCATATCGCGTAACTGAGATTGATAGGGCTCTGGGATGTGGTCTATCTTGAAGTCTTTTATGGTAACTTGATTTTCAGAGGAAGTCGCTGCAGAGTGTGCGACATGGTCAAGGTCGGGCTGCACGGAGCCGGGCTCATCAGATGGTGCAGCTGCAGCGGGACTGAATTGCGCAAGACGGACGTTTTTGCGGAGCAGAATCGGTGCATCAGTCACATTGGCAACGCGAATAGACACTTGTGGACGATTGACAAATGCAATAGCACGAGCTACCTGGATTCCAGCCAAAGATTGTTCAACATGACCCTGAATGAAATACGGAGTTTCACCTGGGGTGAAGTAGCGAGGGAGCTTCATCCGAACGAACATTTCTGAGAATGCTGGAATTTCAACTGACTGTGACACAAAAAGAGGAAACGTTGTCTCATCATCTATGGTAAATGCATTGCTTTCGTCCGTAGCGAACAAGGGATTGTCAGAATCAATCGGGCTAGGGCTATCGGTTGTGCCTAGCAAGAACTTCACTCGTTTCCTACGTTTTGGACTCAGGCGGTTTGTTGACTTGGACCGGATGGATGACGTTGCACAGGGTTGAAGAAATGTAATTGCCATTGTCGCAGGACTGTACATCAACTGATGCTGAATGATGAAGTCGATACCAAGAATGATGTCACATCCAAATGAAAGAGATTTCTCTGTGACGTAGAATTTATGTTTGATAGTACGGTCAAGAATCTGGATATCTATGTCAATTTCACCAACAATGCGAATTGCAGAACCGGTTACACCGAGAACTGACACAGATGGAGTTTTGAGAGAACCTG